GTTAAAGAATAAAGTTATTGGTAATAAATTGATAAAAAGTAGATTTCTAAAATGCGTTCTCGCAATATATTTATTTCATCAAAAATTTTCATCCCCGTTTACCCCACATATCTCCATTTTACTCCGTTGCCTGTGCTGGCAGGGTATTCTTTATGTGATACCACATCGTCTTTTAAGTACATACGAAAAATTACAGAAAATGTCAAAAAATTATCCCATCATTAAATGAAAAATTTACTTTTCTTCACTGATTCTTGCATGTTACGGAGACGAAAGTACTTGATAAGGTTTGACCCGTGTGTCTACCTTTGTTTAGTGTTTTTACTTATTATGGAAGCCCTTCAAACATTAAAAACACCCATAGGCTGCTTAGGTTTATGCATTTGAAAGGGTGGAATGCCCTCCCATCGCAGCATAATACGATTTCCTCTTGTACTCCGATGAAAGCCTTCATATTCTCGTTTCACAACGATAACCCGTCCACAAAATGACACACAAATGAGTTACCTGCAATTCCAATATCTTTTGCGAATCGAGAAGCTGTATTTAGTCCATAAACCAGATGGTATCTTAATAAACGTAAGATACATCCTTAATGGTATAACTTAACACCTGAAATCGGCGCAGGACCCATTGCCGCTGTGTCACAGGCGTTTAAATTATAAGGAAACCCAGACACAACAGCATATAAATAGTTTTTAAATGCCAATTTCAACAAAGCAGCCTAGTCAGTTAATCTAATTATGCTGCTATCGTCCAATATATGAAGCTCTCTGGTATTTTCTAGGCGAATTAGCATATGTACATTCAGGTAAACGGAGTGCATTCTAATGTAAAACTAATGTATCGAGCGATTGAAATTTTTCCTGAAATGTCCTAAACAATGAAACTGGCCAGTAGGCGGGGTGAGGTGGTAGTAATGCTGCAGCTCCCTGGTAAACGGCATAAGCGACCAAAACACTTTGGTCATCGAGTTTGCTTACGGTAGTCAACACTAAGGAAAATTAACCAATTTGACTGCCGATCCATCCACATTTTCCTTCAATAACTTTTGTGGGTTGTTCAAATTACGTAAAATTGTATGAGCATACGTGAGTAACCTTGTTAAAAGCACCAGTATCTCTTCTTTCCGTAGGTTATCTTGCTGAAAATGGCTGTTATGAAGCTTGTAATACCTTCTTCCTGGAATGCGCTCATCTCTCGGAGATCCGAGGTCAATTCCCTTCAGCATACGACATTACATGCCGCGTTGGTGGTATCTCTCTTATGGACCTTCTTCACGACTACATCAGGACTGTCAATCTGAGTAAGTTTTCACACACGCCTGTTCGCTGCAGATGCTTCAGCTTTTCCTAAACCGCAACTGTAACCCCCTCTGCTCCCCCATTACAATAGTCAATGAAGAACTAGAGGCTCGCTCGCCAACCTGGACCTCTTCTCCCAGTGCTGCCTGTCGCCCCGGCCAGACCTCCACCTGTCTGAAAACGTTTATCAATCGGTACTGTTCAGTGCCCAGTGGAATTGCCACCTCTTTGCCTCACTCTTCTTCTTTATCCTGCTCGTCCTCCGGGGCAGCATTGATGACGACTAGCCAACGACCTCAACCAGCACCATCTTCGGGTATATCCTTTCACCCAGCCTATCGAACACAGCAGAGCCGTATTGCAATGGCCCGACACAGTGGTGGCGGTAGTAGTATTCAGTCTTTTCCTCCGGTGCCTTCTGCGGCTGGCACCACCTCTTCCGCAGCCGCCATATTTGTGCCTTTGCATCCAATCGTCACAGGTAAGTTTTCATAAAGTTACTACCTTCCATTCACGCGTACTTTTATGGTGTGACTTCCCCCAGTTCGTGCATTATAGAGCGTGCGTACATATCCGTAAAACAGGGGCCTTCACTAAGAGAGTTTGCAACAAAGCTGTTTTACGTTTACTGTCGTAAATTTTGCGCGAAATTACGTCATGTAAATGACAGTCAAATAATACGGTCTGGTTGGTTTCGATTTTTCCACATTTTTAAAACCTCCAAAATGTTAGCCGTTTCTTGTTCTTTTAAATCCATGCGAAACAACTGTTCCACTTTTACGACTGATTAAGATACCCATTGGAACGCACGAGGTTCGGAGTCCCAATTAATTGTCTCAAAAAAAATCAAAGTATTGCCTTTATCCAAATGCCAACTTCTAGAGTGAGACTATAATAGACTATTTTTTTAAAAAAATACTTCAACTTAGTTGTGTTTCAGCAGAACAGTTGGCGCACCTACGTAAGATTTCCATAGATTAAAGTCGGGCCGCTGTATTTCTATGGAAACGGATTAAAAGTAAAACCCTATAGTTGAACCCCCACAACAGCGATAGTTTTTTCTTCTAAAATATCCCGAGGAGTTTTTTCCACTGTCTGCTCCTTTAAAGAAAAAAACTATGTTCCACCTCATGGTTCAGGTCAATTGACCTCGCTAACAAACTGGGATACTATTTTTCTGCTACCGTGACACACATGTTCAAATAGGAAACTCAAAGGCAATCCACCTATATATCCCTCAAATATACTGATACTGATATGGTCAATAATGTCCGTTTATTCATACAATTGAATCGTCGACATGGGAATGGGTAAAGATCAATAAGATAAGACCGGTTACACAGCGGGAAGATTTGTTTTTCCATTTAAACCAACCTACTACTCTGGATGGATTAACTGAAGGTATTCCATCACAGTTTTGAAAGTCCAGTACAGTAGATTTTTGTTTGGAGATAATTGATAGCTTTTTCACAGTTTGTGTTGCTATAATTAGTAGATTTCGGCGATTCAACCGTTCAACCGGTGTTTAGACGATTCCCGGCGTGCGTGCTAAGGCAACCAGGTCGTGTTGTGGCGCGCAAAGACTAGTTCATCGGCCCTGTCAGCCACTGCGCCCATCCCCCATCAGGCGTTCGACTGGTTAGGATGGTGGCTTCATGCTGGCGGTGGGGGAGAGAATGAGGTCGACGACTCAGTGAATTCCTTTCCTCACTGTAAGCAATCTGACGCGCTTAAAGCTATCACGATGCGCTAAACGCCGTGGCTTGGAGAGTTGCCAACTAATAGCTCGGACTGCATGGTCAGTCCGGTGTGTATTTTGTTGTGTTGAATGGCCGACTGGCGGACTGAGAGTCAGATTGCAATGGCTCCCTAATGTGGCCATTATGGTACTCCCACGCAGCTGGAATCTTAGCCAGGTGTGATAGCACGCATTAGATGGGCAGCCGCTCGCCACATGTCGCTTCCGGTCTTCTTGACTATGTCTTGACACCCGGCCTAGGCGGGTAGGGGAAGAGAGAGTCAGCGAGATGCATCGAAAGTCTACTTTCTCTATAATCCAGCGCAAGTCACCGTCCGTGCACCACCCTGCTGCGAAGCATACGGTAGACATTTTCAAAATCGACCGTCGAACTGTCAGCCGATTTCTCCACTTTACGTTCTAATCGACTTAGAATTAGAATTAGAACATTTTATCAAGGCGGACTGCAAAATGTGAGTTTAACCAATTAGAAAACGCTGACTGCGAGTCGCAGCCGACTTACCAGCTGATACTAATGACGATAATGTCACCCCCATCCCGTCTAGTTTGTATCTTCCGTCTGGTTACTCACCTTGCTAGCCTGTGATTTTTCTTTGTTAGTAAATGGAGCTTGAAAGAGGAGAGTGGGTAGGGTCTCTGACAAAAGGGGTAGTAGAACCGGGCCTTAGGAAAAGGAGGCCGTGCACCCTAGTTTCAATTTTTGCTTTTCACTGTTGTCCCTCTCCGTAGGCAGCACACGGCCGATAAGAGCCCGCTTCCAGATGGCTACTATTCA